CAGGAATGAAAATGTATGGTGTACAGCACAAAATTAAATAGCACCCACACACTTAGTAGAAGTGGCAGATTAAAAAAATATAACTGTGTTTTTCAAATCTATTATATGGTAATAACTTCAAAAGACAACCACAATTTTGCCATGGTAAATTGTAGCAATACCTTAAAAATGTAAAAGTGCTCTTGTTATCATCAGTCCATCACTGCTCAACTTCTACCACTATGCAAATCTATATAATTGGGACTCTGTGGAAGGTACGTGCAATCCAGCCTGGAAACTGTCATCCCAGCACATGTTTTTTTTGTTCTCTCCCAGCTGCAGTGTGACAGTCAAATACAAGCACAATCAAGATGCTTTTAAATTCATGAATTACCAGCAGACCGGGCTTCAACTACGACAGTGTCTTGCCAGTTAAACAATCCTGGTTTTAAACTTCACTATTAAAGAGAATGTAGATCTGAAGCAAAAAAGCGTAGGCATCTTCCTCTAAAGAACAATAGTTTGTCGAGGAAAGAAGTGCTCACAAGCTTTAAAATATCAACCCTAAAAATGTTTAAAGTTAGTAAAGCATCTTAATGCTAATGATATACCTGTATTAGGTTAAAACACAGCTATGTTTTTAGATGATACAGCAGCAAAAAGAATCAGGAATATTGAACTATCAAATTCAGACGTTTTAGATATCCATCCACTTCTCAAAAAAACCCCAACAAAACAACCTGCCCAAAACCCCCACACAAACCTCAAAACACTGATTCCAATGTGAGACTAACTTACCATAATGCCTATAACAATGTCACCTTTCTTCCTTTCTTTTAAGTTTTCTCCATTTTCACAGATACAGAGGAGGTAGTTATCAGGGACATCTGTCGTTACCTCTTCAACTTCTACAGACTCATCTAGCTTCAGCAAAGGGTTCACATGTAACAAACGTTAAAAAAAAACAAAACCAAAATGGTACACAGATTTCAATGGATCATTCACAGGTCCTCCTAGATCCAAGTCCTTCTGCATTAGATTTTTTGCTGGGCCTTCTAGACTAAAGGTCTATTTGACTTCTACTAGTTTCACTCCTACTATGACTCTGGTGAACTTCAGATGACTGTCAGCATGAGGACTGAAGACAGCAGCTGTCCTTCACAGGACTGGCAGTTACACAACAGCTCATACAAAGGCTGTCTTTGACTGTGTCTGTGGGTCTCCCTGTCCAAGCAAGAGCAGCTATGTCAGAAGTTAAACCAGCAGCTGATACTGCACATGGGCTGCACCACCTTGTCATGTTGACTTCACATCCACAAATAACATGCACTCAAAAAGAAGGAAAAAAAAAAAAAGAAACAAAAAACACACCAAAATAAATACAGTGGGTATACAGCAACTGAAAAGCAAGCAATACACCTCAGCAGAAGCATCAAGATTAGCTGCATTAAAAACTTGCTGCCTATCTATCCACCAGGCTGGGTCATACTACTAAGCCTGCTTTCACTGAGTTTGCCAACTGTTACAAGAGAGTCTGTAAGCACACTAGCAGTTGTCCAACAAAATCTCAGATTTGTGTGATTGGCTTCCTTGATCTACTCCTTAAGTGCAACCTCACAGGCATTAATCTGACAAACTTTTTAGTTCTTGGTATCTAATAAGTACTAGTTTGAGAAATTAAACAAAGAAAATGTGAGGTAGGCAGCGTAGGAGACAGAAAAACAAACACTGGAAGGATGGAAATTAAGAAAATAACTTCACTGGTTAAAAGGTGACTCTACCTCAGTTATGCATTTTCTTTGTTACAACAGTCAGGAGTTCATTATCTAGCTAGATTTTTAACAGTCCATTGATTTTAATCACTTTCTTGTCATGTAAAGCAAATTGTGACAACTAACAGTTAATTGTTCTTACTTCACACCTTCCTGAATCACTACTGCTACACATTCTCCATCTGGTCAACACCTAGTTGGATACAAAACCTACAGAACATCACAGACTTGGGAAGTCAACTCTATGCCTTCAGAAGCCAAGGACAGCAGACACAAGCTCTGCTGTTTCTCAACAAACCTGAAGTCCTGAAGCAATTAATTCCTTTATAAAGCCAGCACAATGTTTCACGACATCAAACTAAAGGAACTTTTTTTCCTGCTGCTACTCTTGTGTCAGCCACTTGCTACTCATGTTCCATCTAGTTGATAATACTAGAATTATGGCCTCATAGACCAAAGATCAGTTTGAAACCAAATTTATTTGAAAAGGATATCTTCTCCAATAAGTGTGGACTTTGTGTAGAGAGCTGTCAGTTTCCGGGTGAAGACAGAACTTTTATTTTCTCCAGCAGCCTTCAGTGCTGCAGTTTCCATTTGTTTTATTACTCCAACCTACAGGCACATAGACAAGAAACAAAGTTAGCTCTTAGATAACACTTTATTTTTTTTAAAAAATATTTGGTGATCTTTTAAGATGTGCAAACAGCAAGTGCAATATTAAAGCTGAGAAAGAAGGGCAGAGGCTAGCATCAATCCCACTAATGAAACCATAAAGCACTGCTTTTCATAACACACTACCCACTTCTAACCAACCTCTCAACTTCTGCCCTTGTGCTTTTTGCCCTATTTTGAAACAATTTAGCTAGTGTGCACCACTTGCCAGAGAGTGGTTGCTGCAATCAATCTATATTCAATAAGTCTTTTTCTCATAAGCAGAAAAATAACCCAAAAGGAGGTATCAACTGAAAGCCATACAGAATTACAGAGATCAACAATAGGAAGGAAAAAAGAAAAAAAAAGAAAAAAAAAGATATGGGCAGGGATAAGAAAACCAGGGATGTGAGGAAGAAGAGTGGGTATATAAATTTGCCTTCATCAAATGCAAAGGCTTGATTAAAACCATGACAGAATTGTGCTAGAACTGTTCTAGAGAACATGAAGAGACTTTTCTTCGGAACAGAATAAGCTTGACTCTAATTAAGTCTCACTACACCAAAATAGAGAAATTGGAACACTGGAAAACCATCCATTTTAGCTACAAAAACAGGTGATACTGAGTTTCCCACTTCTCAGCTGAAACAAGACTTTGGTACAGTACGAGCCAGTCCCTTAAGCTCTGTTCTGTTCCTAACATTTAATAAAACAGGGGGATGACCTTATATCCTTTTGCTACAAGCCGCCGCACGTGGACGAACAGTCTGTGAGTCGGTATACTGGCAGTCATGAAGTTATGATCCTGGTGACAATAAATGTTTAGTTCTTTAGCTGCAATCTGCAAAGTACAAGAAGAGTCAGCCAGCAGTTCAAAATCCAACACAGGAGCTCATCTCTTTGACAACACTGATGCACAACTACAATTAAAAGTCCAGTATCAAAATGAAATCATGACGAGAAAAAGCCCATAGAGCTGGGCCCCTCCACCCTCCTGTCCCAGCACATTGGCACTGCCTGGGGCTACACTACCACAGACTTCACACTTCAGACTATCACACTACACACTGGCCTTAACCACCACAAGGTAAACCCTTACACCAGACAAACTGATTCTGCCACCCAGCCCAACAAAGGGTCAAATAATTTTCACAATGTTACAAGTGCAGAATGAATGGAGTTACTTTAATTGCAGTTATAAAGATGGTATTAGGCTAGCTAATTAATTAAAATATTGAAAAAAACAGTACCAAACAGCAGTAGAAATTAAAGACTTCATAGAAAAAGAGCAACAACGCTTGTTAAAATGTGATATTATCACATATGATTTGTATTTGCTTCCTTCCCCCTTGATGAAAAGGTCAGTGTTCACTGACCAGGGAAAGTGCTTGTAAGCAGGAACTGCAGTCAAACAAACTGTGCACCTTGTCAGTAGCCTTCTGCTTCTGTGCTGTGAGTGCACCAGCAACCAAGGAGACAAACCACATAGTACAAATCTGATCAGGAAGACTAATTCCCAGTAATTAAATGAAGTTTCTCACTAGTCTTGACCAAAGGTTAAATCGGTAACAAGTGTTTTGGAACATATCACAAAAAAAAAATCATTAGGAACTATTTATGAACTGTCATTTTAAAATTATATTTGTTGCAAAGTACTTCCCAGCTCCTATCGATCTGGTATGTGCAGTTGCTACATCAGAACATGCATCCAAATGCTCTCTGCACCCAAGTTAGACCATTACATTCATCTGCTTTTACACCACTTACTCCACAGTCCAAACCAAAATACTCCTCATAGAGTTTTGGGCTGTGACAGAGAACTCACCTCTGAAAGTGCTTCCACTTTAATCTCTGACAAGTAATTATTCTAGGACCTCATCTTAAGTTTCCAACATGCAAGATAGCAAGCACTACCACCTAATTACAATAATAAAAGCTACTTTGGTTAAAAGTGTATGTGTAATGGATAAGTCTTCAGTTTAAGAATGCAGAGATTTATCTTGATTTCAAATACAAAAAGAAACCCCAAAATTCATGCCCCCTAAAAACCTTCTAGAAGTGGCCACAGACATAGTACAATATTAACATAATGCAAGTACCTTTCCATAGCCCTGGCAAAAATTACCTCTGCATCTTCTCCAAAGAAGCGGTATTTGTATCCACATTCCACACACAAAACAGCATCTTTATACTGTTTCTTCATTTCTATGAATTGAAGTTCCAGTGGAGTGTAAATGCTTTTGGTTCTCTTATTAAGATTTATTTCTGAAGTCTTATGGGTATTTTCATAAGACTTAAGAGATGCACAAAATTGGCTAAGATCACAGCGTAACTCCTCCTGTAAATGAAAGATGGAAATTATAGTTAGAAATCACCAAATAAACCAGTCGCCTCTGCAGACCTTGACTCTCATTTGCCATAAAGCTGAAGACTGTTCTTGCAGTAAACAGCCCCAAGAACTGCAGCAAAACTGTTGAAGTAGGGTGTACAGAATCACGGAATCATAGAATCACTGTGGCTGGAAAGGACCTGCAGGATCAAGTCCAACCTTCAAGCCAGCATCTCCCTAACCACTAGACCATAGCCTCTAGTCCTCAGGTCCACTCATTTTTTTTTGAACACTTTCAGGGATGGTGACTCCATCACCTCCCTGGGCAGCCCGTTCCAGTGCCTAACCACTCTCTCAGGGAATAAATTCTTCCTGATATCCAATCGAAATCTCCCCGGCGCACTTTGAGGCCATTTCCTCTCATCTTATTGCTCATTACTTGTCCAGTGATACAACTTAATTAAATACATACAAAATACATTTTGAATGTTTTACCTGTATATTGAAACTGTCCTGCACAACCAATTCTGCAAGAAAACATTCCTATTGTCTGTTTACAACTGTACTATATATGCACAACCCTCATGCAGCATTTACAACTCTTTGGAACAGTTCATCCAGCAGTTTACTCAGCCCACCTAAACGCACAAATTGGACCTGATGCAGAGGAGTTGACTCAGGTGGAATTCCCATCTACACAGCTCCTGTAACAATCAGGCCAATGCTTAATTGTGAGGACGGGGTCAGTCATTTTGCCTTTTCATATTGTCCCAAGGTAGTCCATTACCCTGTCTATGCAGGTGCCTGTTCAGGAACCTCTTTGACATGGATCAAAGAAACGATTGTCTGTCCTGAACTTTGCAAGACCATCAAATTTTGTGACTAAACCAAAAATGGAAAAAAATGTTACAATCCCAAAAAAGAAGACAATGATCTAAAGATCTTTTTCAGCTAAGGATCATAATAGTCTATTGAGGCCATAATACTGATGAGGAAAAAAGAGGCTTAAAAGTATTTTTTCTGTTCTCCAGAGTAAATGTGCTCATGTCACACAGGAAAGATGACAGTACTGAGTGAACTAGCAGTTATTAACGAGTATAGTTTGTTTGGAATTAAAAGGAATTAAAGTCATGAAAACCAAAGATTTTTCATCAATTAATCGACTTGCTTTACAACAGTTCTCAGACATCTCAGCTGAAATTGAATCCTTTTTACATCATGAGGTCTCAAAACACAGATCAAGAGACACGCAGGCTGCAAAGACTGGGCAGTCTAAACTGTCCAGAGATAAAAATAAGCATGAGTTACTACTCCCAATTTACAGATGAGAAAACGCAGTGCTGACAGATTATTGGTGTTCCAAAAATCCACAGTAAATCAATAAATAAAACTATTCAATACAAGTCTTAGTTCACCATCTCAAGCACCAAAACCATATTTCTTCTGCATTCCGCCTTTCCTACATAAGCTCACCAAATCTCCCCAAGTAATTTATTCTTAAACACAGAAATCTATATTCCAGTTTCTAAACCCCTTAACAGTTAAAGCTTTGAGCCCATTCTCTCAGCAGTTTATCATTTACAGTGACATTATGTAGCTTATGCTAGCCAAGCAACTTCAGCTTGGTTACATTCTGTACTGTAAGCAGGGTGATGGAAGCAGCCAACAACACTGGTGTTCTTCAGTGCTTCACTTACAGCAGAGCTCTCCCTCACTTGCATCACACGATCAAACACTGATAAAATGGTTAAAAAAAATAACAAAATACAAAGGCAGCATCCCCCTCAAGTTTCTAAAGCCAATGATCATAAAAACCACTATCGACCAGGATGTGCTGTGAGTTTCTGTATCAGCAAATAAAACAAATAAACTCTAATTTCTAACAACTGCCCCATCCAGAGTACAAGGAACAAAGTCAACAAACTGTTTAGAAGGAATGAGATGCAACAGATCATATAATTTGGGTCATGGCAATGGACAAAGAACGCAGTCAGAAAACAACAGGGAAATAAAGAACACTTAGTTGTACTGTTAACTGTGAATTGTGAAATTCCCAAAATTGCACTAAGGAAGACAAGCAGACAACAGAGCTCAGCACCAAGCTGCTCCATGCCTAGGACACGACGGCCCCGGGAGCTTAGATGTCTGTACTGCAAAATCCTCAGGCCAAGGATTCAGTGGTCTTCAACCCAAGGTCTGTGCCAGCCTGGCAGTACGACCCTGTCTCATTTTACAGGGAAAACTGCTGTGACAAAGTATGTGAAATGAGGTCATGAAAGAAAGTAAAAGTCAGAACACACATGGAAGTTGGATTGTTGTGGTGGTATTAAGTTAGCAGCTCAAGGAACTTAGAAGAAAATTACTCACATAAAAATCTTGTTACGCTAATAAAATGCAAGACACACATATGTAAGATGAGCCATTGGAAGGAAGGGAGGCCAGGCCTTGCTCACCTGACTGCCTGGCCAGCACAGACTCAGCAGGTGTCCTATGGAGAAAGGTAGCAGTAATGCTTTGTCAGGTAGGTCCTGATTCTCCTCTACCTACCAAGAATATTAAGAAATAATTGCTCTTTACTGTGACTTTGCATACAGCTTGGCTGCAGAGTCTCTCTGCACATGGTTAAAGCTGACCTTCTCTGTGACCTAGGGAGTTAGCAGCTGACACCATCTCACAGACAATCTGCCACTGACGGGACCCCACGGAGCATCTGGCCACAAGCATTTACATACAGGACTATGCAGTGGCAATGCTCCTCCTGCAGGAAGGGTTGCACAGGAGTGTTAGTGTTGGAAACCAGCTCTGGAACAGGAATGCAGGAATGCTGCTCCAGCTGATACACAAAGACTAACACATACATCTGTTCAAAGACAAAGGAAACCTGAATTCTGCAGAAACGACCATCTTAGGCCCACAGCTTGGTGGAAGGAGGGCTGCACGTGCCTTTGCTCACCAAACACACACTTCTACTGCACTTACTGTAACACACTTTTAACCCACAACCTATGCCATGTGTACCATGCACCCATTTTATAGATTCAGCATCTAGAACTGGTTCTCAAACATCTGTGAGACACACTAAAGTACCATTTATAGATTAAACTAGCAGGAGCAGCATCTGGTGTCAATGCAAATGCATGGACAAAGGGTCAGAGGTGAAGAAGTTCCAGACAGACAAGGGTTTGAAAAAGAGGGAAAAGAAGAAATCACATAATCCAGTCACCCTAGTTTGAGGTCACAATCTTCAAACATGGAAGGTCAAATTGGTGATACAACCTTTCTCACAACTTCTTTCCTTCAAAAAGTCAGGTGTAAAGCTTTGTTAAAGAGCAGCTGAGTCCCAAGGCAACACCACCACAGCAAGCCCTGAGATGCCTTTTAGGGTTTGGGTACTTCCAACTGACCAAGCTGACCCCAAAAGCAAGCAATTGACTAATGCTACTTAGCCCCACAACTTGAGGACAATGCAGGTACTATTCCACTCTTATCAACTCAATAATTTTGTATGGGAGCAACTCATGTCTTCTGCAGATCAAAAAAACAGTGATATCATTAGTAGTTAGATCTATTAGTGACCAGATAAAGTTACATCTCAGTAATAACTCTAAATCACATTTTTGCCAAGATAGCTTGTTAGGAATTTTACAGCTTGTATCAAACAGAACTGAAAGAAATCTGAGCAAAGGGCCACACTGAACATTTTTATTACAATATTATAGGTTCATTCACAATCACAAGGTACACTAACAGCATTTCTGCTCCTTAAATCATGCTTTTTTTCAACAATTATCACTGAAGAACTGTAAGAGGCATTCTGCTCATCATGCCAAGAGTTCCAGGAAAACACCCTTAGGCAAACACTGGTCTATTGGGTACTGCTGCACTACTTCATGACACAACACAAAACCACAAGTGGCATCTTGTGCCAAAGCTTGCTTTTTTAAGCCATAAGAAGCAATCTACACAGCACTGCACCAAAGCTCTACATACCTTCTGAGCAACCTTTGGGCTACTGTCCCAAGATTGAAGAGGGTTTTTCAATTCTGAACTTCTCCCAGTATCACCGGGACATTTTTCCAAACTCAGAGATTCTTTCTCTTGAAAACTATCCTCCCGGCCTCTGTTAGACGGAAGGTCTGAATCGTTGCAGAACTCTCTCAGTCTGTCTAGAGTTCGTAAACATATACGGGGCTTTTCACGCTTCTGAGGTTCTTCTTCAGTAAAAATACACAACAAAAACATATTAGCAACTTATTTTCTCAAACGGAATGTCCACGAGAATGATGTTAGTAAGCAGAGAATGCAATCATTTTGCTTTGTCTCTCTTCCCT